AGGTTTACAATACAAATATTGTTTAAAAGGAAAGCATTCAGTATTTTGCTTACAGTATTTTTTAGGGATAATTTAAAATGTGTAGCTTTAAAGAAAAAAGTTTTACACAATTATAGTGGATGAGCAGCTGTTTCCACATTGTTCGGGCACAGAAGTTAAGAGTTCAAATTGCCACATTAATCAAAGAATTGAGACTATGAAAGCCATTTCATTTAATCTCATTATTGAATTAACAGCTCTGTAGTGATGCCTATTTGTACTTGTTTCTCTAATAAAAATGCAACTGTAGCTCTCAACACAAATTAGTTTTAATTATTTAAATTATATGAATTTGCCAAACATAAATAGTCTAACACCTGTTTTGCCTTTTCATTTTATGGAAAAAATATTGCATGAAAACTAATAGAGGATGGTAGTGGGGAATAACAAAGGTAGGTCCATATATTTATTGTAATTCTATTAATTAAAAAAAAATGCAAGTGTGAGTTGATTACTATCAAGGAGGATAAAGAAGCAGTCTGTTTAATAGCTGTGCAAGGACACAACAGAAAACAGCAAAACAGAAGAATGTCTCATACACTGGGTCAATGCAACTGGCTTGTCCTATGCTCATGTTTGAGAACTGGTGACCATGATGTAAATAGTATAGCAATTCATCTTCCGAATACGATAACATTATGAAGTAATGAGTGGGGTAGCTCTTGAGACGCTTAATGAGGGCACCGAAAGCTGCCATGACAGTCACCAATATATGTGAAAAAAATCTCAGGCAAAGGAAAAAGACAAATTTGGGTTTCCCTGCTTTGTATTTGTTTTGGTAATTCATTTCAGGACATCTGCTTTTGCATACATGAAGAGTATCCAAATGTCAGAAGGGCATAATGTGGTATAAAAAGCAATTGGTAGCTAACTCTGAAAATGGAGAAAATACGTGTTTTCTCCACAGAATAGTATAATCATATTTGTTGCTTCTATTGCATGTTACATTTTGTTTTGAAAGATTTACTATTTAAAATTCTGACCATCTTAACACACTGCCCTGGATTCACTTATCATTTGGTGGAGGAGGGAAATAAACATGTAATCCACTTGTGGTTGGTGGTGATGGTCTTACATGGCACTTCAAGCAGTGATAATTTGTATGACTTTCTGTATATTAAACCATACCTTAATATTGAGTCTGTTTGTGGTGTATTAACTGTTATCCTTTCTTGGTAAAGGAAGTGTGCTAAGCAGATAGTTACTGTTCTAAATCAACAAGCCAATTTTAGAGTCACACGAAGCTGTTGAAACCTACTACTCGGTAGTTTGTCTGCCAGATTCATCATCTTTATTGTTCCTTCTGGAGGTGTCTCTCTTCCTTTGTGCAAAATATTTCCAGCAGGCAAGCTTATCATGAGAACTTACGACACTCCAAGGATATGATTATGTGGCCATCACAGTTAATACTCTGCCCTACATATCAATAACATAGCTCAGGGTTTCAGAGCTGTCTATTTTTGAAAAATGCAAATTACAGACAACATTTTCTAAAGCATTTTATTATATTTTAGAGTTAAATTTCTCTCAAAATGCTCTTATGGTTATTTTGTATTAGCTGTAGTCTCAGTGCAGTTATACTCAAATTTTTGCATATCAGTCTTTTTTCAGACTTTTTATTTGCAAAATTTAGTTATTGTTAGATCAGTCAATATACTGCAGGAAAGGTACTGTGGGTCTACTGAATTTGTTTTTATGTCATTTGAATTCAACTAAAAATAGAACAAAATCATATTTCTAGTGTTGCAAAGAACTGCAGCATGCAACTCTCAAGAAAAATCTGGATTTTTTGTAGTTCTTGCTACAATTTAATAAATTTATAATTTGAAACTATATAAATTGCAACATCATTTCAAATTAAGAAAAAAAATAAGAAAGGAGGATGTTTTCAAAACTCCCACTATAAATTGGACAACATCTTTCTGTTGTAGTATTTCTGACGTTGAAAAAAGACCTAGTAACTGTATTTAAGCTTCCAGAACTATTCCCTTGTTGATCCAAGCACAGCTTTAGGAAAAAAAAAAAAAAAAAAAAAAAACTTTTAGAGAAAAGAATTTCTTTTGCATTTATGTATTAGACTGGATCTTAAGTCTTCATTTCTAATAGACTGCTCTAAAAACACGGAACTATTTTACAGTCTAGTTAGCTAGTTTGTAATCCTGGTACATGAATTAATATAATTAAAATGATAGTATTATCTTTGCTGATGTTGCATTCAATGCTCCAATGTATCTCAAGAAGCCTTCATGTTACTAAAGATACTATGATGACAAGCAGGATAATCAGGTTTCATATTAGTATCTTTGAAACAATGTTAAGTTTTTAAAAATATTTCCCTAAATAGATGGAGTTCTTTGTTACTTAATCGGACTTGTTAGTGTGGGGAGGGATTAGGATTAAAACGATTTTTTTAAATCTCTTGTACTGATACAAAGTAAACATCACTGTAAAATTAATTGCT